CGAGGAAGTGCTGTTTGAAAATTTTTTCGATTAAACTTTCAGTTTGGCTGCGATGAGCATTTTGCGTACTTTTTGGGCCACCCTGTATACCTACGCATGTATATGTATTCTGTAAATTACGGATCATCTTTGTTTAAACTAATTGTAAAATTCTCTCTATCGACAAAAACGTTTAATCTCAACAAACACAAAATAAACTTACACCATTTTTATCTACAATAGTTTCAATTCATAATATTATATGAAAGTACCCAAATAACTTTGTTATTATTATATATTATTTGCAACAATTCGTGAAGAATAAAATCAAAAACCATAGTGTAAAGAGTTAACCCTTTGTCTTTTCCCATTTTATCCTTTTATATGCTTTCTTTCTTACTATTACACAATCAAATTAAAGATCAACATTTGGAGTTTCTCAATTTGCTTGTTAATTGACGACAGGATAACAAGACATTTTTATTTTATTGTAGCTGTTACTCAAGATAGGCAATACATATTACACATATGTATTATTAATAAATGATGTTTATAAATAACAATACGAAATTAGGCTTTAATGGAAACGCTTTTGTTTTAATTTACATATTCAATGATTCAACGAATGACTGTACAAGTACGTATGACAACACACGTAAACCATAATTATGAGTGTTCGTTATTAATAGATATTTAAAACAAAAAACAAAAAAGAATAATTTGGAAAACTACATTGTCATTGCATTTTTTAATTATACTGTAAAATTTTTCGGTAAAGGTGGAGGGGATCGAAAGAGGAGGTCTCCCCCACCACAATACCATAAAAAGTTCGTGGCGCTGTCACCCCCATAAAAAGTTACGGGATTTCAAAGTTAATAAATAAGTCAATTTTTATACATTTCTAGGCATTTAAATATTTTTTAAGTCATTCTTAAACAATATTCAAAACTAAAACTAATAAAAAATACATAAAAATATTGAGAGTTATATAAAACATTATTTAAATAGCTTCATTAATAGGGTAGATTAGGTTACGTTAGGTTAGGTTACCGGGTTTTGTTCAAGTGACCGTATCCCCTATGATTCCATACTAATTACCATTCCATATCCACGGTTTCTGTATTCGCGGCATATTTATGGAACGTATACCCCGCGAATAAAGAGGTTTTACTGTATAGGAGCAAATATTAGTAAGTCCGAAGAAACCAAGATTAGCGAAGGAACAATTACTATTGAAATAAAAGTGTATGAAAATCTTGTTGTCTTATTTCATTAATTGATATGAATTTTCATCAAGTAATGGTCGAAAGTATTTAATATGTCTAATATAGATTATATCTACTCAAATTTTAGTGATTTTGATTTGTGAATATTATAAAAAGTGGTTATAAATTTGCAATAGTAGAAATACTTAATGCAGTTTCTTCCCGCTTGTTGAAACGTGTCAAATTTACGAAAAATAGGTAATACATACTCGTTTTAACGTAAACATAAAATGAATGTGGTTAACTAGGTTCATAACCTACAATAAATAAGTAAAAATTAACATTTTTAGGCAAACTTACCTATGTTTCTCCAATGCAGGCATGACAAGCACTTATGTATCTATTTTGCATATCAAACTTAACAATTTCAAAATGTTTTAATTCCATCAAAGTTTCATAATCACGCACTTTCATTAAAACGCGAAGCCGCGGAGTGTTTTATCCACAATGCACAATTTTCTTTACCGCCAACCACCATAGTAGGTCTCGTTAGCAATGATGTCAACTTACAAACTATTGCATCCTCTACATAAAAACGCGAATCTATAGAAACAAAACATCTATGAGATTTTATTTTAAATTACATATATATTTAAAAGTTAAAAGAATTCATTAGAAACGTAGAAGGTAAAGGTAAAGAATGTTCAAAAACTTTCTGATTGTGGGAGTTTTAACCGTTGAATCAGTCAGATGCTAGTACTTACTGATTATTCTTCTTTTGTACATCTGTAAAACCATAGGCGTCCTCAGTAATTAGAGGAAAAGTTGCTTAACATGGGCTCTGCCTTTTTAACGTTCATTCGTTTGTTTTTAAAGCTATTACAACTGATCTATTTTAAAGTGCATTTGTTCCAAGCCATCACAAAACCTTTTTGATAAAAGCACGGAAATTATTCGAGTTATCAATTAATAGTTAGTTAATAGATGTTCATTAATTAATAGTTACAGGAATTAATCGACTTATCTGGAAAAGTTACCAAATTTGAATACGTAAAAAAATTATTTTTGCTCTTTCGAATAGGATGTTCTTATAAAAAGGGAATGATTAAAAGATTTCAATAAATTAATGTAATAAATAGACTCAAAATGGTTAGGGTTTTATTCAAACTTTTGTAATTAAGGAAACTTCTTCAAGAAAGATCTGTATATGTACATACATTGTTTCTTAGACAAATTTCATTTCTTATACAGAGTGTTTAAAAATAAAAAAGAATAAGATTCTGTTTAAATGACAGCCATGTGAAATACGGCTCCAATCTAAAAAAAAGGTGCTCAGAATGCCTAAATATAGGGCTATGCAAAAAATTGCGGCGATATTCAAATGTTTTTTGTTTTTCGAAACAAATGGCTCAAAAAGTTCGCGATATGCTCATTATGGTTAAACTGAGATTAATCGAAAAATTATTCAAACGAAACTTGATTCCTATAGTAATACAAAATCGTCTGTTATATCCAATTTGATTTACTATGCAGTGTTCAAAAATAAAAAATAATAAAGTTTCGTTTAAATGACAGCCGTGTGAAATATGGGTCCAATCAAAAAAAGTTATAGTAAAAGTTGTTCAGATTTCCAAACTAGAGGGCTTTGCAAAAAATCTCAGCGATATACAATTTTTTTTTTTTTTTTTAATTAAATCACTTGAACAGAATTAAAAAACATTTAAAAACGGCTGCGGATTTTTGCTTTCTTCGATTGGAGCCATATTTCACATG